CGTTAGACAGCACGAAACTATGTACTGAAGGGAAGTCAACAAGCTATAGACGACTCATCCATTGAACTAGGTGCTCACGAAGAACATCATATGACAATGGAGTGACTCAGACTTACATCAATATCCTTAAGTCCACAGACGAATACGTAAGAAGAGAGAAGGAGAGCCTAATGCGACCCATCAATATATGTTCGTGATGGGCAACAGAGTAGAACAGCCGACGAATGCGTTTCGCCCACTCTGAAAACTTTTTTCGTCGCACGTAATGCAAAAGTGTCGAGAAAAGCTTTCCCTCACCCAATCATCTGTTAGAGTACCAGAAAAAGTTTTGAGTAATCTAGCGATGTCTAAAAGCCACCACGAAAACATTCAAGTTAGCCATCTATGTATTTTCATGTCGGTAAACATTTCACAGCAACAGAGAAATGTGTAAGCAAAGTTAAAAATGTTTCGGAGAACTCATTCATATCTTAAGGTAGCCGCGGTGATCCTCAGGCTAACAATGAATCTATTTAACAGACAGCAAAAAAGATTAAGATAAGTGGTCAATGTGTCTGGTTAGCCGCGAAAATCTTTAGCATGCTCACTAAATGACTTTGCATGACAGTGAAAACATGACAATCACAGATGAATTGATGCGAGGGAGCAAAAAGCATCAGAAGCCAGCCATGTGCCAACATGCTTGTAAAAATCTTCCGGATACTGAATAGTCTTTTAGAATGATACCGAAAACTTCCTGATTACATAGAAATTCTAGTGATGCACAGAACAAATCTTCAGAGAACCAATCAATATCTTTGAGTGGTAGCGAAAATCTTGGAATAACAGATGAGAGTGTCAGCGCAACAGGAACAAGGTTCAAGAAACCTATCTATGTGTCAGATTATTCACGAAAATTCTAACATTGTTGAGCAATGCCTTTAGATGATGGTAAAAGCTTTTCCAGTGCAGAAGAATTTCTAAGAGCAAAAGCACAAAGCTTCAGTAGCCTGCTATCTATGCACATAATAGCAAAACCTTCAGCATTCACCGAATGCCTATGTATTAATGTGAAAGCTGTTTCAACACACAGGAATGTTTCAGAGACAGTGCAAAAATTTCAGGAAATCGATCAATGTGTTACGTGCTTGAGAAAAGCTTCACGGTAGTGACTTGTTTCTCTAGAAGTCGGGAATGGTTTTTGATCTCACCAGCATCGATAAGAGGAAAGTCCAAAAGCTTCAGAAGTCAGCCATGTTTCAACGTAGCCACACAAAACTTCAGGCTACCAATCAACATCTCTGAGTGATGATCAAAAACTTTAGAAGCACAGAACGGTAGTCCTTCGATGAGTGTCTGTGAATGGACGCAAAAACTTTTTCATTG